TATCACAGACTCACCCACCGGAGTAGAAATACGAATAGGCATGTCAAGCATTTCACAATGTAAATTAAGACCATTAGCAAATGAAAAAGATACATATGAAAATGTAGAGCCAGGGTCAAATAATACAGAATCCATACAATCACAAACCAAAAGATTACATGTGATAACAACATCAGATGTCTCCGCTTCAGACCTCCCAGGGAAAGCATAACAATGGGCCCTATCACCTGTCTGCCCGTTGCCCCTACCATGTTGCGCTGCAGTAGTTCCCATTTGTCCGTCACCCCGGCCGTTTTGGTGACCACCATTACCTCGGCCACCACGTCCTCCAGAATAGCGACCTCTACCATGACCACCTCTACCTCTAGCTATTGGGGGTCTATAACTCTGTTTTGGACAATTCCTCCTAATATGTCCAGTCTCCCCACATCCATAACACTCCCTGGAGTCAAGCATAGGTCTCTCAGAGAAGTGTTGACCGGTCTGAGGTGGACCCTCAACTACAGTCTGTAGTGAAGACTGAATTGGTTGGACTGAGTAACCTCCTGAACCCTGTCCTCTAGAGTAAGAACCATTAAACTCACCTCCCTTTCGAAACCTTTTTGATGTCGTTTCCATGGTGAAGTCATCTGTCTTCACTCCCTCTACCTCTATCACGAAGTCTACCACTTCTTGAAAATATTTCGCTGTAGCCGATACCTGTAAGGCTGAAATTCGCAACTCTGATCTCAACCCCTTCACAAAACGGCGAATCCGCTCTTGTGGACTGAAACATAGTTGGGTGGCATACCGGGATAATGCACGAAACATAGCCTCATACGCAGTAACCGACATCCTACCTTGTTCTAGGCTCAAAAACTCATCTCTTTTCCTATCCCTCAAAGTGCGGGGTATATACTTCTCCATAAACAAGCTAGAGAATGATGCCCAAGTCATAGGTGGTGCCTCTGTTGGTTGACACTCAACATGTGACCGCCACCACATTTTGGCGTTCCCTTGAAACTGATAAGTCACAAACTCAACACCAAACCGTTCTACTATACCCATCTTGTGTAGTAGCTCATGACAGTCAACCAGAAAATTGTAGGCATCCTCAGATTCAACACCCTTGAAGACTGGAGGTTTCAATTTCAAGAACTTACTGAAAAGTTCATGCTGATCATTTGTCATTATCGGCCCTGTAGTCAGACGAGGAAACGTGCCTATTTCTAATGAGGCATCCATGCGGGGAGCCACAGTAGCCGCATGTTGTACCTTCGGAGCCTGAGGTGCAGGTGTAGAAAACACTGGAGGCGTTTGGCCTTGATCAGATAACCCGCTTAGATAAGCAAGAACCTGATTGATTATCTCTGGGGTAGGTTGGGGTGGTAATTCCTCATTCTGTACTTGTTCATTTTCCCCATCCTCCCCTTCTCTTACTACTTCCTCAATCGATGGAGGAGTCACCGCCCTAGTACTAGATGGGCCAGGCGTTCGTCCTCTTCATCTAGAGGACGTCCTCCCGCGACCTCTACCGCGGCCTCTTGCTACTGCTCCTCTTTGAGCTACAGTCTCAGTGGCTGGCTCAGATGCATCTTGTCTTGCCGATGTTAATGTTGGCGCGGTTGTTGCTCTAGTTCTAACCATCTGCGAAATAGAGTGAAGATGGTCAGATACCGATTTGTATCACCTAGATACCAATTGGATCCAAATAATAGCACGAAAGAAAGAAAGAAAGAATGGATTTTTCCTAAAGTCTTATAGCCTTTCAAAGAAAAGTAAAGGCGCCCCCCTACCGTTCCTTAAGACTCTACTAGACTCGTTCTTGTATGATGAGACCAACGAACCTAATGCTCAGATACCAAGTTTGTCACGTCCCAAATCGAGCCGCGACTGGCACCCACACTTACCCTCCTATGTGAGTGAACCAATCAATACAAAACCCAACATTTCGAATATAATAACACAATATAATGCGGAAGACTTAAACTCATTAATAAAAATCAATTAAATAACTTCTAAAAACTCGACAACTATTATTATCCCCAAAATCTGGAAGTCATCATCACAAGAACATCTATCCTCAAATTACTAAGACTAAGAGTATCTAAGAAACTAAACATAAATAAAAAGCTAGTCCATGCCGGAACTTCAAGGCATCAAGACATGAAGGAGAAGATCCAGTCCAAGCTAGAAGCATTAACTCACCCTGAAATCCGGTGTAATGAAGACTGGCTAGAGTTGCGGTTGAGTTGAACTTGACGGTACGTTTGCTGCACTCCACAAATAACAAAGAAAGAAACACACAAGTAGGGGTTAGTACAAAACACGGGTACTGAATAGATATCATCGGCCAACTCAAATAGAAAACAATATATATCAGATCATATCATAAATAAACTACAATACTCAATCTGTAGCAACAACATGTACAGGAATCTTTGATAAATAACGTCAAGTACACTCCTGAGGACTCAAGCCTCCATATCATACTCATTTGGGAAATAAGTTTTTTTCATTCGAATTTGTTAACTTAATTCCAAGATTCATTATATTTATTCCTCTTGTGTCGGCACGTGACACTCCGCTTCCCTACTACTATGTGTCGGAACGTGACACTCTGATCCCCTAATTCTACGTGTTGGTTCGTAACACCCGATCCCCTAGTTCTACGTGTCGGTTCGTGACACCCGATCCCCTAATTCTACGTGTCGATTCGTGACACCCGATCCCCTAATTCTACGTGTCGGTTTGTGACACCCGATCCCCTAATTCTACGTGTCGGTTCGTGACACCCGATCCCCTAATTCTGCGTGTCGGTTCGTGACACCCGCTCCACTAATCTCATTCTGTTAATTCATCAAGTCTTCTTTCATACTAAGGCATCATCAATCTCATTACTTTAGTTCATCAAGCCTTGTTTTATACCAAGGCATCATCATTAACAAGGGGTTTTAAAGATTGGATTTTTCAAGATTTGGGATTCAATAGCTTCATCATGCTTATTTCATCACAATTATATAATCATATTCATGCAAGCATATAATTAAGCATATAGAAGACTTTACAATACAACCCTACACATATCATTCGCTATTAAGAGTTAACTACGAATAGTATAAAAACCATAACCTGCCATTCCGTTACGAAGTTCAGAGAGTCGATTTCAGTACCCTATTTTCAGAATTCTAAGTATTTTGGAACGAGACACCCTCGACGGTCCGTCGTGCCCATGACGGTCCGTCGTGGGTTCCGTCGTCTCAGCCAGTTTTTCCAGAAATAAAATCTGCTGCTCAAAACGACTAAACAGGTCGTTACATGCACTGAATGTAATTTTAATGTTGTGAAACAGGAAAATATATTAACTTTGAAGTGGAGGGCATCCTATACGATACTTCTACTCTTTATACTGGTTTAGCTAATTCTATAGTAACTCAGCTAAACATAGAAGAAAATCTAAATTCTGTTGAGATAAAGTATATAGTTAGCGAAATGTGTCCACCTATAAAAATTCATAATGATGTTGGGGTAAAGGTTTATCTAGATCAGATGAGGGTGAATTTGGATTTTTTTTACAAAATATCCATTATGCATCACTTTGAAAGATTGTGGGCAGTATAACGAATGTCATAGGGTTATAGTTAATGATATAATAAATTCTGATGTTAGATTATCACAGAATAACATAGATCTATACTCCAACAATTCTATCCGTTTGATCGGAATGGATTTAGACGGAGTTGTCAATGATAATAGTGAAGTAGATAATGATATAATATGTGATCATTCTAATTTATTTGTAGCTGAAAATCAGATTTATAGTAATAAAGAAATCCAGGTTATGAGGCATGTTGGACTTGTTGAGAAGTTCAGCTTTCGGGTTGCACGTTGTAATGCATCTAAGTAAGTTTAAATTTATTTATTTATTTATTTTGTTTTGTTTTAATGTATATATATTGTAATGTATATTTTATTAAATTCTGTAACAGTTATCATCTGCATTGTATTTCTAAGAGTTGTTCTTGGATGATGAGGGCATCTAGTTTGAATAAATCTAGTTTATTCAAAGTTCGGAAGTATATTGCTCAGCATACATGTTGTGTTAGAGAAAGAGTTTATGCCAGACGTCAAGGGATAACTGACGTTGTAGCTGTATTGATAATGGATAATTATATTGATCCATCTAAGGTATATACTCCAAAAGATGTAGCTGATGATATGTTGAAATTGCATGGTGTTTCATTGACATACATACAGGCATGGAGAGCTAAAGAAAAAACAGTAAAGTTGATGAGAGGAGATCCAGCAGAATCTTATGCAAGATTACCTGGTAATTCGAATATAATGATAAATTTAAACATTTGTTTATTTTGTTGTGTATTAACAGTTTCGTGTATTATTTATGTATAAGATATGTATTTTTTATGTATGATTTGGGATGTTATTTTCAGGTAATTTCGAAAATAAATTTATACAGTAACAATTATATGTATTTTTTATGTATAAATTATGTATTTTTTATGTATGAATTGGACTATTATTTTCAGGTTATTTTTACATTTAGGAGCAAACATATCCAGGATCTGTTTTGAAAATAAAAAGGAATGAAGATGATACATTTTTATATGCATTTGTTGCTTTAGAAGCATGTATTAGGGACTGGGAATATTGTAGGCCAATTGTTGTTGTTGATGGTGCTGCATTAAAATGTTCATATGGTGGTACAATGTTAACTTCAAGCACATTGGATCCGGGAGGTAATATATTAGCCTATATAATTTTCTAATTGTATAATATAATAAAAAAGTATATGAATGATATTTTTTTATTTGTGTGATATTTTTTAAGAAAATTAATGAGCAGGTCATATACTTCCGTTGGCGTATGCGATAGTAGATTCTGAAAATGATGCTTCATGGACATGGTTCTTTGAGCAATTTAGAGAAGCATATGGAGTTAGACAAAATATGTGTTTTATGTCAGACAGAAATGAAAGCATATGGAAAGGGACAACAAATGTATATCCTGAATCAGAACATTATGCATGCATATGGCATTTATCAGTCAATGTTTTGAAGAATTTCAATAGAAATACTGAAGATTTGAAGATGTTGTTCTTTTCATTGGCAAAAGCTTATACAAAACAACAGTTTGAGACAATTATGGGAAGAATAGATCAGATAGATACGCAAATACGGCCATACTTGTTTGATATTGGTTATAGCAAATGGTCAAGAGCTTACTCGAATTGTAAGCGCACATGGACGATGACTTCAAACATCGCGGAGTCATTGAATAATGTTAACAGATTAGCATGGAGGTTACCGGTGATTTCACTTCTTGAGTTTATGAGGGTGACAATTCAGAGGTGGATTCACAAGCATAATGAGGAGGATGATAAGACTACATCTAATCTGACAAAAAAATATGATGTTTATCTACAGAAAAGTATTACATTGTCGTGCAATATGAGGGTGTTTTTCACTGTTTTGTATTTTTAATTCATACTAATCTTCAGCATGTATAGAATATTTTTTTTTTACACAGGTGATACCTTCAACTGTTGATCTGCATGCTATAGCTGAAGGAGCAAAGAAATACATAGTAAATTTGAACACAAGGATGTGTAGTTGTGGAAGATTTCAACATTATGAGATACCATGTGGTCATGCAATTGTTGTTCTTCGGTACAGGAAGTTACATGAAGCAGATTTCTATTCTGCTTTTTATAGCCTCAAGAATTTCAAAGATGCTTATGCCATTCCCGTCGAGCCTATCCCGTGCAAGAGTACATGGGATATACCAAGTTATATTTCAGATCCTAAATTGATGCCGCCTGGTCCAAAAAAAGCAGCAGGAAGACCCAAACTTGAACGGTGGAAGGGATTCGCAGATGTGAATTTCAAGAAGACAAAAAGCACATGCAGTAGATGCCATCAGGTTGGACACAATAGGAAGACTTGTTCAAATTATCCTGTACAAAAACAATGATGTCGTAATGTTACATCTGTGTTATTGAGGCATTACATTGTTATAAATGTGTTTTTTATTGAATAATATTAATATTCATACAAATGTCATACAGTATTCATACAGTTTTCATACATTATTCATACCAGTAATATACATACAATTTGTTTGTGTTTGTATTTTGAAAAATATATTTTATAATTTGTCATAATTCATATATTTTTCATATATTATTACTATGTACTATATATCAAATTTATT